TGTTTGCTTGGGTTCTGTTTAATCCCCTCTGTTCTCACAGATACTCCTGCGCGCTCCTCTGGGCCGCGGCCAGAGTAGGGAGTTCACCCTGTCGAGGGCGCCAGGGCTGCATCTCAGCGGAAGACCCCCATTTTTTCAGAGGATGGACCACCGGCCCAGTCCTGCCGAGCAAGTGACTGGTCCCGTGACCACACGGAGGACATCCCCAATCTCTAACCTCGGATGAACTCACCCCTGGCAAGGATTGGGGCGCTCCCGCTGCATGACACCGCATGGACAGAAAACCTCACTGGATTCTGTCCCGGCCGTGCTGGCCGCTGCGTAAGTGTTCTGGCGTCAGCGTGGGCCTGGCGCGCTCCGAGAGCACGGGTGGCACGTAGCCGACGGCACCTTCGCAGACAGATCGCCGCGCGTCTTGTGTGGGCAGGGTAGTGCTGTGTGCCCACCTGGCTGCTCTAGGGGGTGCGGACGTGCGCCTCGTGGGTGAATTCTGGGGTGGTATTGGCTCGTTCTCAGGCAAGACATCCTTAGAAGTGAGTGGCACACCCTCTCCACCCAGCCCCCTGTTCAGACGTAAAGAAGACCCTGTTAGTTCTCCGAGTTGCTTCTGGGGGCTGCAGAGCCTCCCCTTGCCAGCCCCGTCGGGGCTCACCAGCAATGAGGTTCACATCCCCTGGAGCATCAGTGGGCCTCCAGCCGGGGCCCCCAACTTCACAGCTGCCTCACTTTCTTACTGGCCGTCTAGGGAGTGTTTACCTAACCGACAAAGGGTGCTGTCGGGACGTGCTGTGAGTCCGAGGTCTTCTGGCGCAGTGACGGCGCAGTGACGAGGGAGGGTTTGGGGTGGAGCCCTGCCCCTGCAGCGTGCCGGCAGGCCCAGGAGTGTTTTCACCCCAGTCAGCGAGCGCATTCGGAGTCTCGCGTGGCGGTGGTCTGCTGTCTGCAACTAGTCCTCGGGCACTCCCATGCTGTAGGAAGAAAAAAATATTTTGCTTAGAGAAACAAAACATAAGTTTTTCTTTAAAATAAAATTTTAAGTCATTTGTGAGCATCGCGTGAACTCACATGACAAGCTGTAGCTTCCACAAAATTAGGCAATGTGTAGTAATTGGGGGTCGTTAACTCTAAATGATTCCAGCCACTCTGACTTAGCCCAAAGCCGTAATTTGCGCATTTTTCCTTCCCTTCTTTGGTCTCCTGTGAGAAGCCTGGGACTGTTAGTAATTACGAGGGGGGAGTGGATTACACCGCACCTCGTTTGGGCGGCCAGCAGGCACAGAGGTCCTCGTTAGTAGTTCCCAGGCACCTTGAAGGAGCGTCCTGTGGGTTAGAGCCCCCCCCCCAGCCCTGCTCCTTCGATGTGTGGCTCAGGATGGGCTGCCCTTGAGACCGAAGGAGCCGGAGGACAGTGCCCCGCCTGCCAGTCTGGTGGCCCAGTACCAGAAAATCGCCAGTCCTCGAATGTGAACTGCTCAAATGTGAGCACCAGCAGGCCACTCTCAGGAAGGGGCCGCGTCACACGAGGTCCCAAGTTCATGTGCTGGTCCTCTTGTCTCCATTAGCAGCACTTCAGTGCCCGAGTCACATCCCTTCTCCTCTCTTCAGTCCAGAGCTTGCCGACAACCCCTGCAGTGGGCGTGTGCGAGCGTGCCCTTCCTTTCCAGGGTGAACTGGCAACACCACTGTACCCCAGGGCCCTGGAGGCCCTGTCTTCTCGCAGTTTGGGGCCTGTCTCTCGGCCGTCCTCCCTGCCCTTTCCAAAGTTCCGACCCTGGTAACCAGCAGGCAGTGCATTCCAACCAGGGCAGTGGCGAAGCTCACGCCCTCCTGCGTGTGTGTCCCCACCGTCGGCTGTCCCCCGGGCCACCCCTTGCTGTGCGTTCTCGCAGCAGTCTGGTCTTGCACTGAGTGCATGGGGCCTGTTCCGGCCCCGCTGGGGCGAGCGCTGTCCTGCTCCCGGCCTCCTGCCCCAGGCCTGCTGGTGTGCCTGCCGCCCAGGACCGGGGCTCAGAGAGTCCAGGTGACTTGCAGACCTCGGTGAGGGGAGATCACTCTCGCCATCCACGCTCAGGCCGGCGGTCAGTTTGCACCAGATCTGAAAGCGTGTGTCATGGGGTTTGTGTCCGTCGTGACCTATACATGTGTTCGCAAATATCTGAGACCATGTAGAGCCACGGAGGCAGCCACAGCGGGCACCCGTGGACCAGGGAGACCACCGCTTTTACCAGGTATCACGGGAGAGGAGAAACCAGTCTCATGGTGCTCGCCCGCGGCTGGTGCGAGCACCGCATTACAATATTAAAATAGTAATTCTTGTGTCCTGGTTGGTTGACTCAGTTGCGTAGAGTATGGGCCACACCCCAGAAGGCTGGGGGTTCTGTTCCTGGTATGGAGGCGGCCGGTCAGTGTTTCTCTCACCAACGTTTCTCCATCTCCATCTCCCCCTTCCACCCCCACCTCTGTCTCTAAAATCAATAAACATATCTTGCGGTGAAGACCTTTTAAAGAGTGGAAAAATAGTAGTCCTCGTGAAAAATAACAGTGAAAAAATTAAAGTAAGTTAGCCTATGTTTAAACAGAGGAACTATATTCCTTCGGTGGCAGTGCCCCTCCGCGTCCCTTCGCGGTGAAGCCCGGCAGCCGCGCGCCCTGAACCTGAGATTTTATCGACGGCCATGTGGTTGTGTTTCCCTGTTGAGGCTTCTGAGCTGTGGCTGTGGAGCCGTCAATGGCCCCGGAGACAGATGCACGGAACAGGACCCTGGTTCCAGCCAGAAGACAGCCATTTGTTTGAGGAGAAGAAAAGGACATGACGTTTTACACGCTGGAATTGATTATTTCATCAATAGGTTAATAGAAAGTCAGGCTGTGCGTTCACTTCCCGCCTAGACGCCCGCACGGTAACTGGAGATCGGGGCCTGGAAAACGGAAGGCACAGCAGAGCAGGCGGGGGAGGAGGCTGCCGGCCAGAGCCCCCCCCACCCCCCAGGACCAGACCTCGGTCTGCCCATTTCTATGTCGGTGTCGTACGGAGGTAAGTTTCAGGTGCGGAGGGCAGCGCTCTGCGGCTGCCATCATCCGGGACTGCTGGGTCACGGGAGCTTCGGCCGTCGGAACAGTTGAGCCCACGCTTCAGTCGGCGAACGCGCCGGTCATACTTGAGGAGCCCACTGGTGGTTCATGGAGCGTCTGCCTCTAAAACATTTGGAGGGAATTGGTTTGGGTCCCCGTCTCTCAGGCCCGACATTTGTGCTGGTGGGCACCCGAAGCCCCCTTTCCCAGGTGTGCTGTTTCCTGGGGCAGGCGCCTTCTAAATACCTCGAGGACGCAGAGATGAGGGGACACGTGTCTGCCCCTGAAAAGTCAAACTGAGACCCATACACTGCCGAAGGGCTTCCGTCACCAGGCTTCAGTGCCCGCTAGTGTACAGGTTACGTTTCTCACTAAATTATGTGTTGCTTTCAAGCTACAAAGTAGTTTTTAAGCATTTAGTTACAGCTTCACTTTTTCTCTCTAAGTCAGGTGAGGAGAAGTGACAGCTGGTTCTTTCTCTCATCGTTACACATGATCTGCCTCCGGAATGTACAGCGCCGTCGCCGTGGCAGAATCACGCTTGCTTCCTTAAGTGTCCGTGTTTCGCATGTGCGTTTTATGTTGTCACCTCAGAGAAATGCGTTATGCCCCCAGTGCCTGACATTGGCGGCAGCGGTAGCACTGTTCACGGAGACCCGGCCCCCAACCCGGGTCTTTGGACTTGGCGCTCCAGAGCACACCCCACGCTCTTCCAGGGGTTGAGTATTTGGGTTCAAAGCCCACAATGGGCTGGCCCAGCCAGCACGCCCTGCGTCAGGAGCGGGTCGGCGGCAGAGCTGACCCCTGGCCACCACAGGCCTTGTCTCCGTGCTGTGAGCCCCAGACACTCCTTCGGAAACGCACGCACCTGCCCCCTGAGGTTTGCGCCCCTTGCCTGCCCTGGATGCAGGTCATCCAAAAAGATCCCAGTGGGAGGTCTAACTGGTTTTTCCTCCTGGCCATGGGAAGTTGAGAGAGACGAGTGGTCTGGTTAGGGTCCTTCACTGACCACAGCCCGGAGTCCAGGGTGGCTGGGAGGGTGGGGGCCCGCCCCGCCCCGCCCCGCCCCGCCCCGCCCCGCCCCGCCCCAGCAGGTCACATGGTACAAGGGTGGGCGGGCTCTGCCCAGGTTGAGTGGGTTGTGTATTTGACATCCGAACCCAAGGGCCCTCTGCAGGTAACCTGGTATTTGCTTTTTCTTTCCGACGCTTTCTTCACTGAGCTGAGTGCCAAGGGAGGCCTGTGTGCTTCTTGGGGTCCTCGGAGCTCCACTCAGAGCCTCCTACAGCCCCGAAAGAAGGGGTGCCGCCCTTCAACAGCCGTCCCCTGGTAGCAGACTACTGCTGCTGTGGATTACTATCCAAGCCCAGCTATGTTGGGGGGCAAACAATCTCCATCTTGCGGCAGCTCTGGGTGTGAAGACCTCCACCCCGCAGCACACCCAGGGGCTGCTCATCACTAGGGTCTCCTGCTCTGTCCTGCTGCCTGATTTTGCCAAATCAAAGGGCTTATGGCTGCTGGCACCATAGCTCCTTCAAAAGATGCCACCAGCCCCCAAGGAGAAGGCCAGCTTTGCACCGTGTGGGGTAGCCATGTGGAAAACACAGTAGGGGGCAGGGGTGTATGGGCTTCCTTGCGGGGGTGTCTGTCTGATCTTGCACAAAGCTAACGACACTGGTGGGTGCACCTCCGCCCAGCCCCAGTCGCGCTGCCCGAGGTCCCCCGAGCCACAGTGGGGGTAGGCGGGCGGGAGGTGTCGGGACCGGAAGCCGGTGGGGACCCACCAGGGCCCACTGCCTCTCGGGACCTGATGGAGGTGATGTCACATGCTACTTTGACATTTCTTTTCTCCCCTTTTCATTTGATTTCTTCTCCTTTTTGTTTTCTCTCTTCTTCCCCCCTCTCCCCTTTCTGCTCTCGGGACGCAGCCAAACGCAAAGCATGGAAACTAAACCGTGTTGGTAGCCTGCGAAATATATACAGCAGCAGCAGCACCAACACCGAAGGTAACGCCAGCGCCCCCCGCCACACAGCTGTGGGAGTGCAGCCCGACGCCGCGTGCATGCACCCCGTTGTGTTCGCAGACGCCTCCCCACGGTCCCTCCATCTTCCTGTGTGTGTGTGTGCGTTCACCATCCGTGTTCCTTTCAGCTTACTTAAATTTTGACCTTTCTTTCCAGTCGTAGGCTAGTGATGTTTAAATTACTTCAGAAACCTATTTTCTCCTCTTTTTTTTTCCTTTTGCTTTATACATGTGGGCACTCAATGTAATATTTCCCAAGTTATTACAGTTTTTAAAAGTGTTAGTATCAGGTGTAATGATCTGTAGCCAAATACAATAGTGTGCCGTGACATTTAAGTAACAGTCTTAATTTGTTTTGCGGACGCATTCTCCATAATGCTCCGCGCGGCTCCGATCAGAGGCAGCCGGCCTGGGCCATTTGCATGGGCTGCTCTTGCTTGTAAATTCGGTACATTGTTGTGTTTCTAAAGGTCGTCTGGTGCCAAAGTTCACAAATTGACTCGCGTTGCCTCTTTTCGGCAAAGACGGCCGTCACTGCCTTCGTATAATGGCAGATTGCATTTTCCCCCACCTTCATTTGAACAACACAATTAAATTGCCTTTTTTTTCTGATTACAAATGTCAAGGGTCAGGATTATTTTGATGCCAGGCAACGGGGAGAGGAGCGGCACCGGCCGAGCCCTGTGGAGGAGGCGGGCGCGGCGCACCATGCAAAGCAGGTCTCACGCCGGCGGTCGCAGCGTAATAGGGGACGTCTTGTTTCTTCACTTAAGTGCCAAATGGGTCAAGTACTCGTATGCTTGTGCCCTGATGCTAATTGACTTATTTGGGGATGATTATAACTGTAATATTTTTCTTAATGTCACCGTTTTCTGGGCTGTTGGTTTTAGCGATTGCCAAGCAGCGGCATTAAATCTCCGGTAGATTCTAAATTGCACGGTGTTGCTGTAAACAAGCCCCTCTCCTCACATCCCGGCCGCTAACCTTCGCCGATTCACTCCGCCGCCACCACCGCCACCTCTTCTCCTCCCCCTATGACTCTGGTCTTGCTGCAAAACGCCAGGCCCTCAGCCAGAAGAACAAACGAATCTGAAAAACAAAAGTGTGTTTTCCTGCTGCCTTGTTAAAGAGCAGTATTTTAATCATCAGGTTTTTTTCGTTCCTCGAGGGGAAGTTGTCAACTGCTAAGGTACCAGGGGAGCTCCACCCTCCTGGTATCTTCTCGCAAAGCAGTCAAGGAAGGTAAAATGAGAGGCAAAAGGGACAGAATTTCAGAGCCAGTTCCATTCAGCATCGTTTTTGTTGCGCTTTAGAGGATATTGACTCATTCGGTCTTTTTTCGTGTTAGTTTTCCAGCTGAAGGCCAGGTCATTTCACTGCGTTGGCATCAGAGGTGTTTCCTTTCGTACGTGTGCACATTGGTCACATATCTGGCCTTAGGCACCTGAATCACGGCACATGGTCCCACACAGGGCTGCACGTGGAGGGCGGGGGAGGGGGAGGTAGACGGACCCCCGAGACTTGCTGGCGGGGCTCCCTGCGACACCAGTGGGCTGAAGCTCGCCCCAGGCACCAGATGTGCAGAAGCCGGGCCTTCGCAGCCGTGACCTATCTGGTAGCGCATTGAGCCCACCCTGCCCGGCACCCCAGGCAGGGAGGGACCATGACACAAGCCGCCCCTGAAACCTGCAAACTCAGGGCCTCTCAGTCAATTGCCAACAGCTACCAGAGAAGGTCCTGGGTCAGTGGACTGAGTGATAGCCCCCAAATCCTATGCCCCCCTCACAATTTCTTTCATGTCTGTTCAGGGTTTGGTCGCATTTATAAATCTGCAGTTGAGCGAAACACTCGTTCTTTGTTCACTCTGGGTTTCCATTAAGATTCATGTCTGTACCCACATGATCTCAGTTCACACGGCTTTTACTTGTTTGTTACTGAAGCTGTGCAGTCACACACGATCAGAATGCCTTCCTGGTCACCAGCCTTCGGACGGACAGACGTTGCCACACATCCTATCTGTAAAAGATTCTTCATGGAAACTTGTATCCTGAGCTTCTAACTCCTGTCGGGGCCTGAGGCCTCGAGTGGCACACTGCACGGGCCTGGCCCCAATGAAGTAGTGTCCGAAGCAGTCCACCAGGTGCCCACCAAACACCGAAACACAGCTGGGGGAGGGTCAGAACTCGTTTCCCAGCGTAAGGGGAGGGCACCCGCTACGAGCCAGGGCCTGTCGCTCACCACTGTGGTCGTCACAGCAGTGGGGTGAGGATGGGCAGGGTGGAGCCTGGAGCCCTTCCTCCCTGACACCCATGCGGCCCTGGGCCCTGGGTCAGGTCATCACCACCGAATCTCCACGGAGCCCGGCCCGGCAGGTGCCGTGTGACAATGGGAAACTGGGGCTTCGGCAAGTCGGCGATTATCTGCAGGACAAACAGCGCATTCCGGAGACGGGGCATGCCCAGGTCCTCCACGTGGCTGTCAGGAGCGAGAAGGACGAACGAAACCGAACCACCTCAGGGAACACACCTGCAAGCACAGGAAGCAAACGCAAATGCGTCCTCTTTGGCTTCTTTTGGTCCATCCGGGCTAGTTATCTCTTGATACCAGGGTGGAAACATTACCTACATATAATGTTGCACTAATTTTTAAACCTGTTACTTTATGAGAATTTGACTCCTTCCCAAGGTGGGGGGACTCTTAAGTTCCTTCTGCGAGAACAAGCCTCCCTGTGTCCATCTCTGGGGCCTGGGAGGTGGGGTGCCCAGGTCCACAGCTGCCTCCTTCCCCCAGGAGAAGCCGTCTTGGCCTGGGTGGGGAGAGACCCAGGAAGGCCCGCGTCCCGGGTGAACGCGCCTCCGAGAAGGAACAGAGAGAACTGAACGGGGGTGCGACGTTCTGCAGGAGGAGCCCTGGCGGGGAGCCCACCCCCACCCTGCGCGACTGCGGGCCGTGCAGCATCCGGGGGCCTGTCCTCGGGCCGCACTGCGCCCGCACAGCGCAGACGGGCCGGGGACCGTGGCCGCGTGTGGGCTGAACAGGTGAACTCTGCTGTTACAGAAGTGAGCACGTGAGGGGGCGTTATACAGCATCAGTAGGGAAGAGAGGGGGTGCCCTTGGGAGCAAAGGGGCATCTCAGGGCATCGGCCACCTCCACCGAGCCGAACGGGCCACTCCACCGAGCCGAACGGGCCACTCCACACTGTAGAGGACAGAGGCGAAGCCAGCCTGAAGTCCTCATCCAGGCCGTCCCAAGAGGTTCCTTTCTGTGGATCTGGAACTTACCCCGTAGACTGGCCTGGAATGCCTCCGTTTGCGGTGCTTCCCTCCTGCCACAGAGATGGACCAAGGTCCCTGGGCACTGTGGTTCCACGCAGGCCCCGCCGTGGAGAAACAAATCTGGAGAACGCTTCGGTGGGCCTGGCCGTGTGTCCCGTGCTAGGTCAGTGCCCCGCACCCCGTCCCCCGGGCAGCCGAGACAGTTCCCGTGCACAGCAGCACACGGGAGCCGGCCTTCGGAGAGGTGTCCGCCACCCCGTGTTCGCAGTCACTGTTCCGAGACCTCCACCTCGTTCAAGCTGAGTTGACTTACAGGCCACGCTCACACGCTCCTGCCCAAGTGACCGGTCCATCACAGTCTCGGGCCCCTGTCCTGACGTGGACGCCCTGGGCTGGGTCCCGGGCAGCTGGAGAGGGAAGGGCTGGCAGGCAGCCCGGGGGCCTGGTGCAGAGTGCGGGTAGGTGTGCCCCTCTGGGACCCTGGCAGCCTGGGGACTTGGTGGTCAGGGACACTGTGTGCCGTCGGCCCAGGGGAGCATTCCTGGACGGCAAGACTCGTAGGAGCCACGGTTTCCTGGCTTTCTGTCCTGCGACTCCTTGGAAGCCTCTGAGGGAGTCATCATCTCCACGTTTTACAGAAGGAGAAACCCGGGCAGGGAGCAGGGGGGTCAGGAGCCCCTGGGGAGCAGGCCGGCACATGGAGACCGGGCTGGGCCCTGGGCTCAGTGCCGTCGCCCAGACCCTGCATGTGGGCAGTTGCGAACATGGGGCCCACCTAGGCTGGGCCAGTGCTGATGCCCCCCTGGGGCCCTGATGCCCAGCAGACAGCAGGGGCCTGTGGAGCTGTCCTTCTGAGGGGCCCCCCACCGTGTGTGAGTCCAGCCCCTGCCCCGATGGCCTGGTGGCCCCACCCCCACTGCCCTCCGCACTCGGACACGGCTCCTCTTCACTCACCTGTCTCCTCCTCCCAGGCAAACGGTGGTTCTGGATCAGAAACGAGGCAAGCCCTGCATGTGTGAGTGGCGGTGTGAACGGTGGTCTTCGCCCAGGCAGCCTTGGTCCACCCCTCACACCCCACCTCTTCGCCTTAGGCCGCTGGGTGCCCACACTCGGTGCCTCAGTGTCCCCACCTGTACACTGGGCACATGCTGCCTCCTGTAGGGGTCGGGACGGCCAGACCGGAGCAAATACAGAGACGCGTGTAGTGCAGTGCCCCCGCCTGCCACCGGTGGTACCCGCCTCGTGCGGGGAGGGCCTTTCGTTCCTGCCGTTCGAACTCTTCATTTACAGAGCAAGGAGCCGGAGATGGGACAGGAAGTGCCCGTCCTGAGGTGGGGGGGTGGGTGTTGAAGCTGAGCTGCTTTCCCCCAGACTGGGGCTCTGCACTCCAACAGGCCGGGGTGGCTACACGCCCCTCTGCGGGTCCTGCGGTCACCGTGTCTCGTCTTCCCCCACTCGGGGCCCTTTCCCAGGCAGGAGACTGTGACACCTGCCTCAAAGCAGAACCGAAGGGGCCGGGCGGGGCCTGCACAGACCTTTCGGCAGAGCCCAGCCTGTGCGTCAGGACCCGCGGCGGCCCTTGTTAAACTGTCACAGACATAGAAATAACCCTGAGGCCGTTGCTCAGGCCCACAGGACGCATCTGAGGGGGGTGGAGTCGGCTGAGGAGGGCCCCGGCCCCCGGGAACAGCATGGACTAACGTCAGT